TGAGAGCATCAGGAACTCCTGAGGGGACTGGGAAATAAGCAGCTCACCAGGAGACTTCAAGTTACAGCTTGGAAACAATGCAAAACAGAAAAAGGCAAAGGGCAGCTTTTGGGTTAATTAACTTGTTTAGCAACTCATTCAGGTGACATGTCTATGAAGTCTGTAGAGGATGGGAGAGTTCAGCTGTAACTATTAAAGAGACTAGGGAAAAACTCTTTCAGATAAGAGTTCCATGCCAATCACTCCTTTTCCAGGCCACAGAGGCAGCTGAGAAGCAGAGAAGACAATCTGAACCACACAATGTCATCTGTTTTGATGAGTCCTGCACAAGTAGCTTGCAAACTTCAGGGCCCAGCAAACTACTTTAAGCTCTCAAGAAGTGTCACAGGGCAACTCACATGTCCTAGCATCGTTTTTAACTAGCACCACTATGGTTTTACAATTCAATTGAACACACTTGCTGGAAATTATTTTAGCCAGGCCTCAATCCACAATCCGTGAAGGAACGCAATGTCTTCTAGTCACTGGTGCATGCTAAAAAGAGAATCCTATAGTAATGTATGAGGCTTTTCATCGTGGTACAGAGCAGTAATTTTTTAAATCCTTTTTTCCATCTTTAATACTTTAATTCTTTTTCCCCTATCTTTAATACTGCTTACATAGCAGCTCTCAAACCACACTGTGACAAGGAAACACATCCTGGGTATGCATGATTGAACTGAGACTGGCTGACGCAGAGCAGAAGATGCAGTGGAAGTGGATCATGGAGGAAAAGGCATCAGGCAGCTGCGCTCCATCCTGGTCCCAATGATACTGTCCTGGACACACTGCCTTCTTCCTTCCCAGAGGGCCTCCCCTGCACAAACATAGCCCTCCCTTCCTCCTCTCATGTAACACAGTGCTGAGGTCCATGGTAAGAGCAATCAGCAACCACAACTAGGTACTAGTACTGAGATGGGACACCACAAGGACAAAGCGTTTTTAAACTATCAGCACATAAAAACTAGCATTTTATAAAACTGATGGCCTACACAAATACTAGAAGGGTATGTCTAACACTGCAGGTGCTTCTGTAGCATGCCAACACTCAACACAGCTTTAAGAGAGCTGCCCAGGCACAAGGAAAACCCTAGACAAAGCAATGAAATACTGAAAGGGTAATGTACCCCCTTACTCATCCAGTCACACCATTATCATGTCTGGAGGGTCAGATCTGCTATTGCAGCACACCACTGCAGACCGTGGTGTTGGCATACTCTGCAGCAGAAATGAAGGAAAAGAAACAACATTCCTAGTTCACATAGTTACGTGTTAACATTGAAAGTGTTTCCATCAACAGCTTCTGACAGACAGCCAAAAATAACATCACACTTCCCTTACAAAAGTCTAATATCTAATAGACCAAGCATTAAGATACCCAGAAATAAACCATAAAGGGATTTCATCAGTCCCCAGCTCCTATTTAATACCTGATTATTGCCTATTGCTAGAGTCAATATATAGCACCCATTCAAGCTCCATATTTCATCCTGAGAGGGATGTATTTACACAGGATAAGTGTTCATGTAACCAGAAAGTAACAAATCTTTTTTAGTATGTAGAACAGTAAATGTGTAATAAACGCTTTTTAAAGCAATGTCACTCCAGGGTACATATTTGAGGGAATTTATTCCCAGGATAACGTTTTGGTGATAACCGATCATTTGGTCTGTTACAGAAAGATTGGTGGCATTATGAAGATCATTGGCTACAAGCTGTTTAAAGTTTAGGCAAAGGAAAAACTTCTGCGTTCTGTGTAACTGTGCTCGCTTTATAACCATCAGGGATTATTTGTGCATAGGGGCTATCTGTCAAAAATTCATTGTGATGGGTGCCATACAGGCATGGAACAAAAAGACCACTCTTTGCCTTATGCTAAATAACGAGTTGCAGATATGATTATGGTCTATAAAAAATGGAAACTTGGAACAGAAAGCAGGATTTTATGAACTCCTGTATTAACATTTTAACATCTGAATATTCTGTGAATTTTAAGATGCAAACCCAACATTTATCTGCCGTTGTAAGTGAAATGAAATAAGCAATGAGTAAGTTTGTATGACAAGCTAGAAGCAGCCAACTAACCAGGTACAGTTTTTACACGCAGCTTTCAATTCTGGGGACTCTTAAAAAGCAAAGTTCAGTATTTTTTGGCTGGAACTGCAACTGTACACATTACACTACTTCAGTCCAATTGAACTGAAATTTCCCTGCAGGAGGTTTTTCTTTTTAAAGCACCTAGGGGCTGTGACAACATGGTACCTGTTAGACGCAATCACAGGATGTGTCAATAGACAGAGTGAGAGGTTTGCCTGGCCACAATATGGAAGCAGTGTAAGCTGGAATAGAAAGTGCAGGCCTTTATCCCCACTGAGAACTTTAGTCCTTTCAATGTCTATCAAGCCTTCAGATACTTGATACTTGCCTCAAAGTGACTACATCTGAACAATTTTGGTCATAGCTAGGAAGCAAGTTCTCATGTCAGAGACCTCACAAAAATAAGTATCCAATCACCTTCACTTCCCATTTGTAAAATACGGAAGTCTACCTTGAAATGGTTTTGGTGGCTTCAGCTGTGGCAACACGGTACAAGGAACGAATGGCCTATTGCCTTTGGGGTCAAATACCACAAGACTGGCCTGTGCCTCCCCATCCCAGCTGTTACACTGCCACAGGTTGGGTAGATGGAATTACTCAACAGTCGCTTCCCACATTATCCCTTGGGTTTCCACTCTCACCTTCCTAGAAACATTTCTGTTCCAGCACCAGATTAGCCTCTCCCATGTGCAGGAGACTGTCCACCTTTCTGATCCTACCCCCCTCTCCAAACTACATTCCCTAGCAAACAGCTGGCCTACACTGACTATATTGAAGGCTTTCCCGTTCATCAAACCCTATCTGACAGTTATAGGTGCTGTTTAATACTGTAATGATGTATGCACCGTTACACACTATTCAGTGCTACCCACTGAGTAGAAACCATTAAGACATTCACGGTGCAGAGTTCCTCACCAAGGAGGATCTGGTGAGAGGGAAGATTACGTCCCCGCCAGATCAGCCTTTGGCCTCTCTCCCGCAACTGCTAAGAACACTCATTTTAACTTATGTCTATAGGAAACCCTACTAAGTCCACTAGATAACTGCAAATAGGCAGCCAAATGCTATTGTGGGAGAAACAAACATGTCATTGACTGCATAATGAAATACATCACTGAGTCCGACTTTTAAATGCCTTCAGTCTCCAGTGAACTCTGTGGGACTGAAACAGAAGGGTCCTATGGTCTAGATAACTTGGCATCATTACCAAATTGTCATATACTGTTAATTCTTGGCTCTTGTTTACTGCTTTTTATTTCTAGAGAGCATAATGACAACTTATTTAACTAGTAAATGCTAAGAATGTCTAACAAAACAGAAGAAAGTAAAAATCAAATAGTATCTCCAACAACAAAGCAACACTAGGCAATGAAAGGTTAAACTTAGTTTACCTCAGTGCTGCAGCTCTTCTTACAACATACCAGTATCTTTTAAAAGCTGTTTTGTTCACAGCTGGACAACAAATCAGAACTGTATTACCCAAACATATTTTTAAATGAAATTATGGAAGGAGCATTTTTAAATCAGTTACCTTTGAATTAAAGGTAAAATATATTGAAAACTTGAAGATTATTTCCCACCTTTTCTATTAAGAGCAACAGGTTTGCTTTGAGTGAGCTCTTTTAAATTTATTTTATTCAACACTTTCTGCTATCTTTTCTTGAAAAAAAAAAAATTCAAAAAACCATTGACAAGTGAGAACTTAAGAGTCAAAAATAGCTTAGAATCAGAACCATTTCGGTTGGAAAAGGCCTTTAAGAGCATCAAGTCCAACTGTTGACCCAGCACTGCCAAGTCCACCACAATAAAAATCAAGACAGTAACTGCAAAACGTATTTTAAAACAAGTTCTGCAAATTAAGATCACATAAAATGAAACTGCTGTGCAACACCAGCAGGTCAGACGTATCTCATGAAGGTCTAACACTTGGACTAACACTTGATTACGGAAAATGAAGTAAGAAGCATGAAAACTGTAATTGAACAGCAGTGTCTCAATACACTCACAGAACAGAGTGCTAAAAACATTTCATGAATCCAGGCAAACGATACACGCCAGTGTAGTTCTGGCTGAACGACTAAGCTCGTTTTCTGGCAGGGCAACTCTTCAAGAGCCATTCTCTCTGCTACATCCCAGAGTTACTTGTCACAGAAGTCTGTGCAGTCGGAATACAACGTGAGGGACTCGCGCTTAAACATCAAGGTAGCATCGAGCCACTCTCTTCACTCTTCAAGCCATTTCTGCCTGAAGCACTACAGCATTTATGAGGAGTAAGTTACCAGCCTCTGACATTTTGGCTGCTTGCTTTTCCTTTTCCTCCTCGAGTTTCCAAAGTCTGCATGGTTTTAATTGTGCATTATATTCGGACACCACCAGAGGAATGTGCTACGGCATCTTCTTGTTCGTGGGAGTTGTCCTTAAGCAGTATCCCTTAGCTTTTGGGATTTCCATTGAAGCCAAGCGAACTGGGGAGGGGAGCGGGGCAGAGCGACAGTGGGAATATCCGGCTCTGCCTCCCGCTGGAAAAAACAGCCACAACAGAAGGGGAAGGGAAGATTCCCCGACACTGGGTGACTGCTCTCCTCTTACGGGGAGCTCAGGAAGAGGGAAGTCATCTGACAGCTCCAGGGGGAGGCTTTTCCAAGAAAACGTTCCAAGCTCTTTGGTGAACGAGGAACCCCCCGGTACCTCCCCGCTAAGCTCCCCGGCACCTCCGTCCGTCCGTCCCTCCTCAGCCCCAGCTACGCCACCCCACCGCGGCGATCCCGTCCCCGGTGCCGGGACCAGCTGCACCCGGTCACCCCGCGCAGCCGCCCCGCTGCCGTCGGGACCTCCCTCGCTCCCCCAGCCGCGCCCCGCCGCACCTTTTGCTCATGGGCCGGACCCGCACGGCCACCTTGACGTTAGCCATGGCTCGCTCGGTCACGCACAGCACCCGCGGCCGCCCGCGCCCCTGCCCCGCATCACGGCCCCGCCGCGGCGCCTCAGCGCCCGGGGACGGGAGGGGAGGAGCGGAGCCGGGAGAGGGCGGAGAGGAGGGGCCGGCCCGGCCCAGGCAGCCCCCGCCGGGTGGGAGGGAAGTCCCCCCGGGCGGAGAGGAGGGGATGGGGAGCAGCCCGCGGAGCAGCCGCGGCAGCCTCTCAGGCACCCAAACCGGCGTTTTCCGCCCCAGACAGGTCCGCCCGGGACCTCCGAACTAAGAGACTGTGATTTCAGGCTTAAAATCACCACCGTCCCGCGGCAGCACCGCCAAACTGCCATGTGCAGCAGTGTAACAGGCCGGGACTAACTTCAGAGTTCAGTGCCCCAGCCCCATTAAACGGGCGCTGCCATGAAGATACTAGCTAGGGACTACCCAAGAGAACCCCCTTTGTTTGACGAGTAAAGAACTGCCGGTCTGCCCCTACGTTTGATCACTTTTCTTTTCCTAGGAACGTGCAGGCAATCGGAAAATCAGCACTGTTTAAAGTGCAAAGCATTCCACCTTTAGTTAGTTTGACAGTAATTTAAGGAAGGTGAGTATCCATCCCTGCCTTACTGGTGCTAAAGGAAAGCTCCCAAGCGTTTTAAATTCCTTTGAAAACCTCCAGTCTTCGTGTGGGTTGTATTTATGGTGTAAAACATAATGTTGAAACTCCCAAAGGACTGTAATTGAAGTCAATGTCAAACAAGTGCATTAACAAAAGTAATATTAACCCCACAAACTTACAAAGAAAAAATGCTTTCAGAATACTGTCCCTGTCAGCTACTGCCATTATCGTGAAGCGAGCATTGGCATAAACAAAACGCTCAACACAGAATTCCTGTTGTTTTTTGCCAGTGTTGTTACTCATTTTTAACTGGACTTTTTCTGGTTTTGCATTTCAAAATATGCAAAACTGAGCTATATCTGAATACCCTATGGGAGCGTTTAACAGACTATTTAAACAACTTATTTAAATTGCCTTTCAACTGTACTATTAAGTGCAGTATACTTTAATTCTCCTCATGAGAAAATTTGCCTTAAGTTCCAGAAACATTAAATGTAAATGAAAAAGATACCACAGTACAGAAACTTTCCAAAGTGAAGTATAGGATGGATCCCTTAAGCCCAAAACTTATCCCAATTCATGACCCACCAGAGAAATGCTAAAATGGACAGATAGATAGATAGAGCTGTGAATCACTGTTTATTTCAGTAGGTTCATCAATGCCCATGGCAAGCGGGTTGGAACTGGATGATCTTAAGGTCCTTTCCAATACAAACCATTCTATGATTCTGTGATTTAATCATAGCAAAAAGTGAATTAGTACCTCAATGGCAAATGGTATTAGCTAAACTCTACCACCTTCACAGTCAGCTCTCCAGTAACGGATACAATAGAAGAAGAAAATATGCTCAACTCTCTGGGATATGGCAAAACCACATTTGTGGGATTACAACAAACAACCTAACCAGAAATGTTTTCATCCCACTTCTGGAAGCATTATATTACAACAGTTTTGATTTGCCTAACCTAACTCATCACTGAAATGCAATGACAGGTTGAGCTTGTGACAGGTGCATAGGACAGCGATTCCAGAAGTCTGGATTCTGTTTCTTCTCATTTCACAGAATGTGCAAAGCACTTTAAATAAAAATGCCAGCTCCTCCGCATTGTGTCAAGACCTTCGTTTCCACATCTGAAACTACATTGACATGGGACTTTGGACTCAAATCCTGCGATGACGTACAAGCGTTCACACAAAGAGCCCATTAAAGTTTGTGGGACTCAAACACCAGCTCATATTCTCAGATCCTATCTACTGACCTTTTGCTTGACTCGGTCCAAATTGTGTCTATCCCCTTACTTTCCTCAACAGCAGCAAAGAGGAACATCAGCTACACTTACACACCATGCCAGAAAATGGTTAAGCTATATGCCTTGTCCCCACACCCAGCAGAATGATGTAGTCTAGAGATTAAAAAAAATGGAATTCTCAGAAAATTTCAGCTGTAGAGTAGACCAACTACAAGTCAGTGAGATCAGAGTGTGCTCAACAAAGGGCCAAAGGTTTCTTCCTTAAATCTACCTTAAGTTTTTAAGCAATCATTAAACTACAGTGAAATTTGTGCGGTACTGAGCCACCTACTGGTTACTTCCAAAAAACAAAGGGCTCATTTTCAGAAACAGCTATCAACTACAGGCTGGACATAGGAAGAATTCAGATAACTAAACAATAGGAAGGTAGAAAGGAATACATTTGCACTACTTCCAGTTTGCTCTGCATCATGCATATGAAACTGGACATCCTCCAAAGACAACCACTATCCCAGTGACATTTTGCCAACAAGTCTTTTCATGATGTGAAAGTCCCTAAGATTGAAAACTAGAACAATCAGTACTGTTGCTAAATTCAGTCATACTCATGGAACAAGATTTTTATTCTAAGGGGGGTGGGGGGGGGGCAGGGGCACTGAAAATAGGGCAAGCAACAGAAAAGGAGAGACTGAGGAATGTATTTATCACTACCACAAACATGTGGTTTGTCATGTATCACTGAGTCCCTTCCCTGGTTTCCACAGAACCACATCATAACCACAATGAACTGTAACGTAAACCTAGTTTAACTTCTTGGTTGGAATTCCTATGGAAGCCTAAGGTGGGATCCAAGACTTTGCACTGTTCTTTTAATTATACAATTTAGTAACAAAATAAAAAGTAAGAAACTGAGCTCTTGAAACCTAGTGCTTTTATTGAAGTTTTATAGCAACATACAAAATACAGCATATTATCAAGATCCTCATAGAAAACAGAGACACTATAGCAAGTGCAAAAGAAATACCAAAACAAATATGCATTGACAATACAGGCTCAAAGAGAATCCTGTCCAACTATTTCAAAGAGGAACTCCTTAACAGTCTTCTCGGTAGTCTGTCTTTCCATGAACTAGAGCTCATGAACTGTTGTATAAGAACAGAAACATAACTACCTATAAAATCCCCCTAAAGCACCACAACTCTGTTGTAGTTTTCACAGAAGACTGTAAAAAGGTAGTTTTTTGAACAGGCATCCTATTTGAGGAAAATGAGTTCTTAGGTTACAGATAAGCCAAAGTCCAATTCAGCAGTACTGCAGATGACGTTGGAAGTTCTTTGAAGTTCTCTCCATTTCAGGATATGCTCTGTCAGTTCCTCCAGTTCTATCACAAGCAACTCTGTTTTTGTCAACGCAGTCTCCTGAAGTAGAAAAGAGAAGGATTTCATCTCTATATACCCTGTCAATCTAGCAGGATCCAAAAATGACCTAAGCATCCAAACAGCATCGAGTTCTTAATGCTGGAGGAGACAGAAGACTCAGTTCTTTTGCTACTCACCATGTTATTCACCATGTTTGGTATCTGAGGGATGCTTCTAATGGTCTGCAGATGGCTTTCAAGCTTCCCAATGAAAGTCACAGCCTCAGTCAACAACTCTACTATATCCCTGTAACAAAGAAAGAGCCCTTACTCAAAAGTTGTGGAAAAAAATGAGGATTTAACACCTCCTAGCTCTTACTTCTTCACCACATGGGTTTGCTAATTAATTTCTCTGTAATGACACTTCTTTTGTAACTCTCATCAACAAGTAGGGCAGGAATTACAGAAGTGAATATGCACTTTGTCAGTAACCACACTAGATTGTTTGACCATAAGAAGGACTCTATTTTTCAAAAATGTACTGTACATGTCTGGGAATCATTCACACACTTATTCTGAGCAAGGCAGATGCCAAATGTCAAAGGAACAATTCCTGCCTATGGAGAAGCATAATGAATTTAACATACCTGTTTAAAACAACAGATCACAAATTGTTTTGTGAACTTCAGAAGACCAATAACCTAAGCAAATATTCATAAAAATATGTATCACTACCTTTCTACAAACTGAGCAATGAGTAAACTACTAGCTTTTAGCTGAGGTCCTGCTACCATTTTTATTTGTATTCTAATCAATTGAAAAGTGAATGAAAACATGCAATTTTTACTGCTTATTAGTTCAAATTAATTGGACTCATGCGAACAAAGAACAATTATTTTCTATATGCCTACTTGTGGAAAGTGGCCTCAATAGGCAGGCTCTCTTGACATCTGGGCTTCATCAACCTCTTTCTAAGAGCCCTCTCCTCTTTCAGTATGGCTTCCAAGTGTCTGTTCATATCTTGCATAATCTCACATTTTTTGCCTACAAAATAAAATTGCAAAGTTGAACCTACTATCCTGCTAAAACAAGAGAAAGATTTCTTCTGGAGAAAGACAGAAATACAATCTGATCTCTTGCGCTGGACAGTCATTAATCAGAATGACTTTCGTTAGAGCTTATAGGAATTAGTATCAGCATGCACCTCAAAGTCTTAACACCTACTTTTTCGAGACACTGCTTTGTTAATTTTACTACATTATCTATAGTTTTAAGTAAATTGTTTGAAATGAAACCAGCTTTTTAAGACCATACCATAGCACTGCAGTATTACAATATACTTCACTAGCCTAACACAGTAATAGCAAGCTAGAATATTCTTAAGCATCCATCAAATCGCAATGTGCGCTATAACAAGAAATGAATCCACATGCTCCAAAATATCAAGTGATTTTAGGGGCATACAGATGCAGCAAAAATACACTGAGTTACTGGAAAAGCAGCAAGGCAGCACACAGGCAAAGGGAATCAAATCAGGTTACTGATGATCTCGGAACTCCTGATACTGCATTGAGCTGTCCACTCCCCCAACTTTTTTGGATAATGAGCTACACACAAGCATCTGCTGCTACAGCAGAAGCGCAAGTTCAAATCGTATGAAAGTGTTCATTACAGGCCCATAAAGCACCTGCTACCTCTAATAGCTGCAATGAATTCTACAAGCGGCATGTACTCAGAAGAAACATTAAAATGCTCGTGAAGTCACTTAACACTCTTGGTTTTTATTAAGGTAGAACTGTACTTACCTAAGTAAAAAGGGTGAGTAATATCTGCTGCCTCCTTCTCCAACTGCAAGATTTCAGTTTTCAGTTTCATCTATGACAGTAACAACATCAAATGAAAATGCATTTTTAACTTACTTATCCAGATATTGTTGACACTCTTGGGGTGGAAACGGAAAAAGGACGAGCATGGGGGAGAGCACGTGTATGGAAGACAACAGAGAAGGAGCATTTGCAAGTCAGCATGTTACTGTGCTCTCTGGAGTGTTACCACTACTTGGGGGGGGGGGGGGGGGGGAGGGGGGGGTTGGGGGTGTGTGATCAATAGAAAAAGACTGTTTAAAAAAAGCTAAAGAATTTGGTGATTTATCGGGAATTTATGTTGGAAAAGAGAGATTTCATAATCCATTCCTAAACACAGAAAATTACGCCTCCTACAAAGCAGTTTCATGGTCTGCATTCTACTAAAGAACCTTCTGCAGCCCCAGGTTCCCTCCTTCTGGAAGGTTTGTGTTGTGTTGGGCTTTTTTAGCTGTGGTAGAAGCAGAAAACTCCTAGCTTTAACTCTTTCCAATAATAAACCAGCACAAGAGCAGGAGATACCTTCCTGTGGCTGAAAGAGTTTTGGCCATTTTGGCTAGACAAGAGATAACTGAGGAAAAGTACAAAAGAAGATGATGACGACATGTCAGTCTCTCAGGACACACAGCTGTTGCTTTGCTTTTCTTGATCACTGATGAGAGGAACTAAATAAATGTGTTTCACTCACAGCATATTGAGCATTTATCAGAGAGGGTCCTTTGTATGTGAAACCTTCTAGCAAAGGATGCTAAGCAGCCACCTTATTGTGACCTAGAAACTGTTCCTTCTGCCTGTCAATACAGGATGAGACCACCTGTTTAACCCATCCTCCAAAAAAGTAAATGGTGAATTTGTCACACTGCTTTGCAGCAAGCTGTAAGCAGCTGCAGTAAGCTGCTGGAGCCCACATTGTGTAACTCAATAAACACAGTTTTTGTACCAGCAAATGTTCAGAAAACATCATCATAAAATACAACCCAAGAGCCAATTTAGGCAGTAGGAGATGACAAGTTACCTGTTGTTAACCAACCAGATAGTGTAGTTGCCTATAAACACATTTTTTGAACTTAAGTCAACTACATATTTTTACCTGTTCTTCAGTTTCTTCAGAAAACTTGTAGTTCTTTTCTTTATGACAACTCACGGTGGGGAAAAAGTACCAACTGTATAACAGCTAAGCTATTTTAAAAACCCCAAAACATGAAACAACAGCACATGGCAGTCTGATGCATCATCAAGTGCCACTGTCATGGTCGAACCCCAAATGGCAACTAATTGGAATGGAGAGGAAAACAGGGCGGAAAAAAGCCTAAACCAGTTTAATAATTAAAGTACAATATAATACTAATACTACTGATGATTAGAACAAAAAGGGAAACAATAAGGGGAAAATATATAAAACTGAAAGGGGAAAAAAAAACAACCAGACACATACCCCCTAAAAAAAACAAGCAAAAAATCCAGTGAACAACAGTGATGCAGAAGGCAATTGCTCACCACCCACTGACCGATAACCAGCCTGTCCTGAGCAGGAATAAGCTCCTTCCAGCTAACTCCCCCAGTTTATACCCCAAGGATGACATGCTGTGGTATGCAATACCCCTTTGGCTAGTTTGGGTCAGGTGTCCTGTTTCTGCTTCCTCCCAGCTTCCTGTGCCCCTCCTCACTGGCAGAGCATAAGACTGAAAAGTCGTTGATCACAGTAAGCACTTAACAATAACTAAACCATCGGTCTGCTTTCAGCATTATGCTCAGACTAAAGCCAAAACACAGCTCTGCATCAGCTACCAGGAAGAAAATAACTTTATCCCCGCCGAATCCAGCGCTGAAGTGCTGGATGCACACCGACAACAGTAAAGGCTGTACCTCACTGGATGCACACCGACAACAGTAAAGGCTGTACCTCACTGGATGCACACTGACAACAGTAAAGGCTGTACCTCACTGGATGCACACTGACAACAGTAAAGGCTGTACCTCACTGGGTGCACACCGACAACAGTAAAGGCTGTACCTCACTGGGTGCACACCGACAACAGTAAAGGCTGTACCTCACTGGATGCACACCGACAACAGTAAAGGCTGTACCTCACTGGATGCACACCGACAACAGTAAAGGCTGTACCTCACTGGATGCACACCGACAACAGTAAAGGCTGTACCTCACTGGATGCACACCGACAACAGTAAAGGCTGTACCTCACTGGATGCACACCGACAACAGTAAAGGCTGTACCTCACTGGATGCACACCGACAACAGTAAAGGCTGTACCTCACTGGATGCACACCGACAACAGTAAAGGCTGTACCTCATTGATTTCAGCTCGCATGTTTGCCATTCTTTCCATCTCTGCGAATTTCACTGAGCACAGGGGAGGTCTACAGTTTAAATCCAGTGTCTCCTGTGAAAGAAAAACAGTGGGAAAAATGCAGTCTGAGCAAGAACACTTGATGCAAAGCCACTAGACTGGCTTTTAAGAGTCTAAAGTCACTGTTAACACTCTTGCACTATGGGATACAGAAGATTTAATCTGAACGCCTCATAAAATAGATGCATTTTTTAGGGAAAATGAACACGAGTGAAAATAAAATCTCATAAAAGGCATAATGAGATCAACATCTCAACAACACTGGCTTGCACGCTGCTGGCACACACTACAGGGCACAACGAACCCCTCGCGTCTATGCTCCATGCACCAGAAGGCACAGTTACTCCTAGTAAGGACAGCTCCCATCAGCCAAAACCATAAGACATCCCACACTGAATGGAAAAACTCTCAAATTCGCAACCATTTACACAAACAGGACCACGCTTCAGCATGTTCAGCACAGTGTCACTTCAGGACACAGCCGGCTTCACAGCGGGTAAGCACTGAAGCCTGTCAGGCTGGAGGTGGAGGCGAGGCACCGCACGCAGGAGACCCCGGCGGGACACAGGGGCCTGAAGGGCCTTTACCACACGCAGCTTTTGCCTCCCCGCTGCCGTTCCAGCGCGGCCCCCTCCGAGCCCTGAGCCGTTACCTGGGTCACGGCGCCCGCCGCCAGGCACCGCGCCAGCAGGGCGCTCACCACCGTGCTCTGCCCCATCTCCCAGGGACAGCGGGCGGCCGCGGCGTCACCCTGCTCCCCGGCACCATCCGCGCACAGCCGAAGACTCAGCTCCAGCGGCTCCCGCGCGGGCTCGGCCTCCTTGAAGGGCCGGCGGCTCACGGTCTCCATGGCTGAAGAAGCGGAGCGCCGCCGCTCCACCACTGTGGGTGTCCCGGAAGCCCGGGCGGATGACGGCGGCAGTGACCGGAGGGCGGCCGCCATGTTGGATGCGGAAGGAAAGGGTAGGGATACGCGTCCGGTTCCGGGGGGCCGTGGGGGCTGTTGGAGCGGCAGCTCTGGAAGGGCTGAGGCGGAGCCCGCGGCAGGGTGCGGGAGGGGCCGCCGCCGCGGACCGGCATCGTGCGGCTCTGTACAGGTGAGGAGGGCCGGGTTGGGTCCGGCTGTCCCCCCGGCGCGTCCTGCCGTGGCAGGGTTGAGGCGGGGGGACGCGGGCCTGCAGCGGGTCGTTGCTGGCTTCGTCCCTCTCCGAGGGTCCTGCTGACCCTCTGGTGGAGAATGCTTCTTATCCCGGCTGTTGACGTGCTGTGTGAGGCTTTATTCCCCACCTTCCGGCCACAGACCTGCCGCTAATCCCTCGGCCTGTAAACCCATGCGGTTAGTCCTGGGGATTAAACGCTGCTGGGGTTACGGGAGATGGATGTCGTGTGTCTGCATCTAGAGTCGCAGCAGAGGAGCCAGGCCTGTTCATGAAACAGATGTTGATAAAAGAAATAGAACTGTAGCATTGACAGCAGGCCAGTGCTGATAGATGCCATTAAAATTACGGCCAGTCTCCATGGAGAATCTCCTTAGACGACTGGGCCCTGAAAGAGGCAAAATTGGGAGAGTATGCAGTTTTCCCACTGAGTTTTAACTCTACTTATTGTATCATTTCAGTATTCAAGCTGTTGTAATGAAAGCACCTTAAACAAGGTAAATCGTTTAAGTTCTAGGCTTTAGTTATGAGGCAGATGAAAACACAGAAGTGAAGGGGTTCATTATGTTGAAATGCCTGTAGTATTTAAGACAGTACACATAAAATGACTTTCTACATTTGCTTTATCACAGAGACTTCAGATTGCAGTTCTCTAGTGCAGGATAACTGAGAGAAACTGCCTGAGACTGTCGCTCAAACTCAGGACGCTTGACACAGAACTGTTAGGATGGGAAATAGTGCATTAAAGGCCCACCTGGAGACAGCACAGAAAACTGGTGTGTTTCAGCTAACGGGAAAGGGTCTTACAGAGGTAATGTATCTGTAGGGGAAACGTGGTGGTTTGTGTGCATGACTGACACTTTTGGAGAGAAATTCCCATGTCTTGTCATAATGCACTGCATGTATATGTTTTTCGTAATTAGTGATGGATAAAATTATTTCAGGAATTTGGTTTTTTTCCTTTTTGCTTGATTTTTTTGTTTTTACTGTCTTTTGATTGAGGATTTATCTGTCAGGGCACTTGTATGCTTATGAGCTTATGCTTTAGAGTGTGTATATGCTCAAGAAGTACTCGTTATGATGTTGTGCTGTTTTAAAACAAAGGCTGTAAACTTGAGCGGAAAACCTGTAAATTTTATAACTGTATCATTACCTAGAAAGTTACTCCACAATTTGTCACGTGTATATACTTATGCTGTGTTTAACTGTAGTCATATGACTAGTCTGTACAGGCTGTTCACTGGGCTGCAAGCTTCTTGAAGTTTATTATATCGGCAACTGTCTTGACTTTGACCCAACTGCAAAAAACCACAAAATGTGCTGGAATCATAACTCAAGTAACAGTTCACAGGATAGCCAGAATACCGCTATGTTGCACTAATTTTCCAAGACTTCTAAAGTATCTTTTTCTACTGTCCTACCTTCTCTCTTCCCTTTTCCTCTGCCAAGCCAAAAAGAATCAAAATCACTGGCCTATTGACCAGGTTTTTCTTTTTTTCAGCTCAGTGCCAAGTGCACTTTAAAGTGGTACAGGATGTAAATAAGAAAAAGGAAAATGGTTTTCATAATTAATTAAAAAGGAAAGCAAGAGTAAAATTTCCCAGTCTGCTAAAATAAAAAGTTATTAACTAGCTATAGAATGTTTTTAAATGACAGGCACATTTCAGAGAAACAGAGAAGAGGACTAAAATAGAACCAAGCTCATGTCATGGTACACTTCCTTCTCCGTTTTTCATTTAAATTCTTTGGATTAAAATCTACTTCCTAGATGTCAGACTGTCTCCTTTATTTCCCTTTTCCCTCCCTCAGATGAAAAAAGTATGTTTAAAAATACGTATTAAGCAAATTTGCTAGCTTAGTTGCACACTGGTGATTGGGCATTGTGATACTTACGACAGTATGTAATAACGGTACAGATTTCAGTTAAAATTCTAAGCTGTGTAACTTGAACATTCAGAGCTAAACATATCTAATACATCTAAATAACATACCTAACATATCTAAATGCTGTATTGTTTTTCTCCCCCATAGTTTCCTGAAGATCTGCAGAAGCTAACAAGCAACTTACGGACAATAGACTTGTCGAACAACAAAATAGAGCTCTTGCCACCGCTTGTAGGAAAATTTTCCTTGTTGAAGAGCCTTGCTCTAAACAACAACAAACTGGGTATGTCTGCTCATTAATATATCCGTAGATTTTAAAAATAAGAACCTGATTTCTCTGATGAGAAACTAAATTTAATGATTTAACTCTCACAGGATGTAAATGGGGAGTTTAGTCACCTAAACTGAAATCTTTGGGAATCATGTACAGGAGAATAAAGCCCAGAACCATAAATTCTTCAAAACTAGTTGCCAACTTAGTTGTATTATCAGTTTTACAATGACATGTAAGTACTTAAAACCATAATGTTTCTGTGCTGTGACTTGTCTGATCTGAAATTATAAATGTCTCATGGTGTAGCACTTGCACAGAGAACTGGTAAAAGAAGAGCATCTGTAGAAAACATTGGATTTGAAATCCAATAGGGTTTCCCTGTGTAGGTTTGAATCCTGCTAGGCAAGGGGATGTAGCTCAGTGGGAGAGCGCTTGCTTCGCATGTAAGAGGTCCTGGGTTCAATCCCCAGCGTCTCCAGCCTGTTCCACAGAGATTGAGCACCACTTCCTTTAAAAGCATAATGAGGCAGGTGGTTTTCCCAGGGTGAGGCTCAACCCTTGCACTCTGGGTGTGCTGGCCCCTGTGATTTCCCCAAATGCGGGAAACTTGGCTGCATAATTTGTGGCCATTCAGTGGTTCATGGAAAAATCAGACGAAGTGAGGAAACAAACTTTTTTGTGTGCTAATTGTGTATTATCTTCCTTTTTGAAAACCAAATTTACAAACCTCTGACTCTGTAGTGCAGCTCAGAAGTGCTACAGCTTATGCACGTGTGTAGGTAGAATGAGGGAAGGTTGAATGCCAGCAGAGCTTACCTGGTGAGGCTTTTATGCTGGCATGATACAGTATGAATTATCTGAGAACTTAGTTTTGAATAATACCTTTAAAGAGCTACACCTGAAGCTGTGAATTGTGTGGTACTTCAAATGTAATAGAATGTGTTGTCAAAGTGGTTGGTAAGGAGTACAGCTGATTGATAGGCTAAACTCTTCTGAGAGTGGTGTTTTCAGGATGTGATTTGAAGGTCTGCCTTATCTGCAGATTGTTTTTAAGATACTTATGGAAGATGGTTAAAAAGCATGTGTTGTCACTGGGCTTAACTTTCTGTGCAGGGATCTGTGCCTTCATTGGAAAATGAATCCTGTGAGAAATTACTGTAATACAGCACTGTTTTCCATGCAGAAACTTACTTGGATTAAATGGGTATGGACATTTACTGCTCTTTGTTTAGGTCATCTCTTTGTTTTGTCATTTGTTTCTAGCTGCTTTACCTGAGGAGCTGTGCAAACTGAAGAAACTGGAAACACTACACTTGAATGGCAATCACTTGAGGCAGCTGCCAGCTGCATTTGGACAGCTTTCAGCTCTCAAAACCCTGAGCCTTTCTGGGAACCAGCTTCGGACTGTGCCTACACAACTCTGTGGTCTTCGCCACTTGGATGTGGTAGATCTTTCAAAAAACCAGATCCAAAACGTGCCCGACAGTGTGGGAGAATTGCAGGCTATTGAACTCAATTTGAATCAGAATCAGGTCTGGTAACAGAGATATTATGGGCATGTAGATTTAGGACGTGGTCTGTCTTGGACTTAGTACATTCAAGGAACATAAACTTTATAGCTAAAAGACCTCCCCGTACTCAACAGAAATGAGGGATCACAACTAGAATTTTTGAACTGATACATCCCACTTCCTGATTTGACTAACTAATAAATCTGGAATTAGTTGTATAGAAAATTATTTGAACAGTTCTTAGCAGGAATCTGATAAACACATATAGGTTGCCTGTCATCATGGAAGAACAAAAAGTTACGTGGACTTCTGATTATTATTATGGTTGCTTACACATTGTTGTCAAGTGGTTACTGGTAATGTAGTTTATATTTACAAGATAATTGTTCCACATTAGCCTGAAACAAATCACTTAAAGTAATCATGGATTACTAACATTTTAATCTCATTTCTCTCTTTTTTTGTACCAGATTTCCCAGATCTCAGTGCAGATCTCCCACTGTCCACGCCTCAAAGTGCTGCGTTTAGAGGAAAACTGTCTAGAGCTCAGCATGCTTCCTCAGAGTATCCTCAGTGATTCCCAGATCTCACTGCTTGCAGTAGAAGGCAACCTCTTTGAAATTAAGAAACTCAGAGAACTGGAAGGCTATGACAAGGTTTGTGTCATTTTTCTTGTGTGCATGGCTTTTTTAAAGAACCTTCTGGTGAAGTCCTTACTCAGTACCTCCTCCTTGGACTAAGCATTTATGCTGGTGAATAAAAGCAGTCTGTTGGTATTGTCCCTGGTACTGGATCTGTAACTAACCTCAGAAAGGAATTTCTGGAGTTCCCCAGAGATCAGCTTCCTCATAGGATTCAGGATCAGTGTTCTTTCATCAGCATCTGTTGAAGGGTAGCTGGTGATGCTAGGCATGTCTTCACTTTGACGGGACAAAAATAATGGGTGATGCTTATTATGCAGCATTCTTAACTGTTTGCTCATGCTTAACCCGTGAGATTTGACTGTTCAGCACTGTGAAGACTTGCTTTCTGGAACATTAATCTGAATTACAGCAAATGGCAGAAATTTTTTTCTTTGTTTGAAATTAAAGCTCTAATGCCTGGGAGCTCTAAAGCTCTGTAGTATGTGGGAAATTAAAGGATGCTTTTAGATGCTGGGTGCTTTTGAGTCTTGGAGCAGAAGCGTAACTGCGTAACAATGCGTAACTGCGTAACAATGCGTAACAATGAATCTTGTATTAACTTCTGAATCTTTGTTTTCTTTGTAGTACATGGAACGATTTACAGCTACAAAGAAGAAGTTTGCATGATCATTATTCAGACCCTGTGTATTGCCAATAGAAGAGTTAGTGACTGAAGCACCTGCTTCACTGACTTAAATCAAAGCTGATGGAGAGTACTCCTTCTCTAGTAGTCTGATATGGTCTGTTAAGGCCACATTGAATAAACTTGAACTAGAGAACATGGGTATTGAACTGATGAACCGGTCCAGGGGCCAGTTTTAGGTTTTTTGTGCCACTATAGCTTTTACTACAATACATGTTCTCCTTTGTCAGAGCTTGTTCTGTCACAGAGAAAAGGGGAATGAGCTGGCTGTTGATCTGTAAGAGGATTATTTCTTCTGGAAACATTTTTCCATGATAGGCCATGGAAGTTCTACCACCAAAGCAGATCTGAAGCATTGTACGTCTTGCACTAAGCGCTATTCTACAGTGAAGAACTTTTGCAGCTGAGGTTTTAGTTTATAACCTAAGTTTTTTATGAAGCACAAATAATTGTGGCTGTTAAGTGTTTTATTAACTGCTTCTGGTGAACAAATCATGGTTTGAGCATCCTTCATTCATATTCTACTGTACAGACTTTCTTTTCCCATAAGCAAGAATTGCACTACAGTCTACTTCTGCTTAAGCTGTATCAAATAAAAGGTTCACCTTCAACACACTCAGTAAAAATGTAGATTGCTGGAAAATACAATACCTTTGCACTGACTCCTTGTGTAAAGAGCAATGCTAACAGTTAGAGTTGTCAGCCTATGCTGCTGCCTTATTACCAAAAGCACCTAGAAAGAGCTAAAACTGTATGCAATTATGTAACTTATACTGAAAAGAAAAATGTACTTGTTTATTTTAGTAAATAATTTTCAAAAACTCAGTTTATTTGGTGTAAATGCTGTTGTCACTTTAACTAGTACCAAGTTATCACTGAAAGCTGTCACTTAGGTGCTCAGTTCCCTCAGTTGTTGGTAACAGCTGTACTTCAACTGCTTTGAGAAGGCAAAGGATTTGAATACGTCAACACTTTGTTGTGTATGTCAACACTGACAGGTCAGTCTGCTAACGCAGTACACTGCACTATCAGGACAATGAAGTAAGAGCTGTATTAAGTCTGCTTCTTGGCAAGATAAGCATGGATGTATCTATTCCTAATGAGATCATCTTACATAACTACCATTCTTTACTGAAGCTTTCCTACATGAGGTAAGAAAAGCATTTGGACACCAAGCTCCTTAACATTACTGGTGTTATACTGTTAACGTATTCCATGTTTCATTCCATCTGCTGTTAAGAAGAATGAAGTGAGCTCTGTGCCAATTATTTTTCCTCTGTGTAACAACTGTAATTAAGATTAGCAATAAGTGGTTCTTTTATATGATGCTCAGATGTATCTCGTTGCCTGCCCTGTTGCTAACTTCAATTCCTACATAGTAATAGCTCTTGTAATAGTGTTTGAAGGAACATCAACTCCTTATTCAGGTGGTGGATGTGATCCACCATCATACAGGGAACCAGTTTTACTTAAGAACCCCCATTCCAGATGTTAATTTATGGAAGAACTACTAGCTTCCTGCAAGTAGCTGACAGCAGACAATGGTTATGAGGCTACTTAGTTTTGTAAGATGTAACTAGGGAAATGCTTGAATGCAAACATGTTACCATAATGCAAGGCCCTGTATACTCAGGAATCTCTTCAGCTTCACACCAAAAGACTCCACGTTATGGTGCACAAACCTAGCAGTGAATAGTTTAAAGCCCCAGGCTTGTTTTAAATTTTTACCTCCTTTCACTTGATACCTAAATCCTACTTCAGTAGGAGCTTTTCTCCTAGAGATTTGCCATGCATGAGACATCCCACAGAAGAAAGCCCCTCAGCAAACTACCCCTTTGCATTCACCATATTTGACAACTACAAAGAAACATGCCATCATCAATGTGCATGCACTTGGCAGGGTTGTGCACTGGTTGTTTTTAACTGGAAATGTCTGTGCCCAGACATGCTGCTTCTCTCATTTAACATTAGTTTAACTGGATCTTTTTGTCTTTTTAAAGTCACAGAAGAAGAGAGTGCAGGTCAGAACATTTTAAAATGATGCAGGTAGCATCACTATAAAACAAAAAAAAAATCCCCAAACCACCCACGTATTTTATTTCAGACCTCTATCACTTGCTCTCCAATTTACCATTGCAGCAATATACACTTTTCATCTACCTATTCCATCAACATATTGGTAGTTCATTGCTGTCTGAAGTGCAGCAAAGGTGAATTAGCAACTGCATGTCACTGCATTATGCAAACAGCAAACTGTCACCATACAGCCTTCAGAGAGGAATGTTCTGCAACTTGCTGCACAAGCAGCACATGCTGCAGTTCATACATAGCTACCCCTGTGTTCAGAGGCTTAATTCATCTTTCATCAAGGAGTAGCCTAGCTTGAATTTACTCATTATCATTTAGGTGTAGTCATGGGACACTTGGCTCAGAATAATCATTTTTTTTTCTTTTTTTTCACCACTAGCTACTGGTAGAAATACAGTAAATGAGAAGTACTACTTCCAACCCACTCCTGGGTACACTACTCTCTCGCAACTCAAAACCAATGCACATCAACGTAAGTTTGTATTTTGCCCCTGCCCTCTGCCCCCACAATAGTGTCCTGATAATCTGAGGCCCTGCTATCAGAGAAAATACAGTTTAAACTTCCTCACAAGAGAAATTGCATTGGCAGGAGGCTGAATCACTGGATTTCACCTACTGAAGTATGTATTTGCAAGGCATTTGTTACTGATATTTGACTTAAAAGTGCAATTCCTATACCATCCTGATGTCCAGCCCCATATCAAATCAGTCTTCCAAAGAGATGGATGCATTTCATAGGTTGAAATTAGATGATGTTTTTTATGCAGGGATGAAAACTAGAGTGTTAGATCACAGTAGTCCTCTCTTCCCAACCACACCCATTCCTTTGTTAGCATTAGGATTTCTGTGATCTAGAAATAGAAGGGGAACTTCCTACTTGCACAGTAGCAACTAGTTCTGCCAAGTTTTTCAAGGACAGGAAACTAAAAGCCATTCCTAAGAGAAAATAGTTTTAAAACACATTCAGTTATAAAAGTATGTATTTTTTGTGCACAATATATAGTTTAACAATCAAAAGCAGAAAATGTAAACCTTCATTTGTATTAGCATTCAGAAATACAAAGATGTACAAGCATTGAGTCCATCCCACAGAAATGGAAATTAAGCATCTATTCTACAGATAACAGCAAGACAATCCAAGAAGCAGTCTGTGTTGTTTGCTAACAAAGTTACCAAATCCCGCATGGATTTGGCTCTTGCTGCACCAGAAAATAGTGTTGATACTCCACTAATACTCAGCCTTAGAGCCTCAGAATTTACTTTGTGTGGTATTCATTGCTACATTATCATTCTGATATATTGAACACAGCATTCTCTCAGCCAACATGCCAATTAGTTGTTATTGCTCAGGGTAGACAAGAACATGGACTTTGAATGGCAAGGGAGAAAAACATTCCAACGTTTGGAATCCACATGCTACAGAGCAGGTTTGCACTGTTGTAAGTGGAGTAATGTAATTCCTTTAGTCTCCTGTTCCAGGAGACAACCATAACTTAATAAAATATACTTTGCTTTCACAACCAGCAACAAATACCTCTTCAGTTAACCTGAAGTTTGTAAGAAGGGGAAAAAAAGGCATACAAATGTCTTGTGTTTTCCCACACAAACAGTGGTTAGAAATTTACTATGCAATGTTCTTAAAAGTACTTTACTACTTGTATTTTTTAAGTGCATAAATCTTCATTTACTAAGGGGGTAGATAATGAGCTTTTAAAATTGATTAGCATTCCAACAATTACTGGAAGCCAGACAGAAGCCAACACATTCACATAAGGGCTACCACTGGCCTATTTATTATAAGCAGCAGCTCTGTCCTTTTGTCATTTTTTTGGGGGGAGTGAAGTGTATTTTTTGTTACTTTTCTTGTTTTGTTGGGGTTTTTGTGTGTGGTTTTTTTCCCTTTAGTTGAACTGAGAATATACCAGTAATGCTGACTGTATTTCTGCTATAAAGAAAACAAACCACTGTATTTCAGCAGATAAGTGTCATCTCAACAGCCCTGGGATTCATTATCAATAGTTACAGGATAGTTGTGGGCTGAGCTTCCAAACGAATCACCTAATAATGCTATTAATTTTAATTATTCCTCCAATCAATTTGGTTTGAAGACTTTTGCCATCCAACATAAAGTATCACAGGTTAGTTCAAAGCCCCATTTTCACCTTTAAGGCAGGCATTACTGCAATTATACGCATCACTTGTGATTTATCTGCCAAATTTTTAAAGAAAACCCTAGAAATAAATCTGATTAAATTACAGTAAAATCAAACCATTTTTCTTCATTCCCTATGATAGCTTTACCTCACCTGGTCAGAAACTCCTATATACTGCAACAGGAACATTTTGGTTATAAGCAACTTGAACATGCAATATTTCCAACTGCAAGTCTCATGGTCTGCAATAATAAATCAGTCAGGAATCTATTTAAAACTAGTTTATTTAGAACTAGCATACAGTTCATAAATAGATACTGCTTCCTCCACACTTGTGACGAAGAAGTTTTATGATAAGCTTCTCTGTTTCCAGTACATTTGAGAAGCTCCCCCAAAGTCACTGCTGAGAGCAAGCTCTGCACCAGATCAAAGTCATTATTTTGCACCTGGAGAAAGGCATAAACTGAACTCCAGTGAAAACTGGCCAAAATGGACTCTGATACAGGATGAGACACACACACTTTTCTGCTCAGTTTCTTCCAGTTAACATGCATCATTCAAACACTTAAAAGTTAACTTTTAGATCAGGGACATAACATTTTCCATCAAATACTTCAGGGAGATCATTTTATTTTGTTCTACTCATATGCACGTGGGGTTTAGAGCAGGTATATATATACTCACAACAAATATCATCAGGACAATGCAGCAGGATTTCTAGGCATAGCCTCCAAACCAATGGCAACCTGTATATTCCTCCCGTTGCCTTTACACTAATGTTCATGTGGTTAGGAGTGTTTTTAAGCCTTCAACCCAGAAGTATTTAGTGGGCCTTTTCAATTCTGTAACTGACGAACTCAACCTCAAACCAATCATGTGGTTTAGACTGTAAAAATATCGGTAGCGTGCTAGATATACAAGTCAGACAATATTCACCAAGTCCCTATTTTAGTGAAGACACTCAACTTATGAGGTATTTTAAACAGTGCAAAGTGCCCCCTCCAACTTCCCACAACTGTAAATTCAGGTTACTCTGCTTGTTCAACTTCAAGAACATTTTGGGTGCGGGGGAAAAAGGAAAAAGAAACATGCAAGAAGATTCTCAAAGCCGTAACACTCTTAGCCCTGAGCAGTTTAAAGATAGTGAAGGCAGATGGGTAGGAGGAAGTTATGTTGTTGTTGGCTGCTTTCTTGGAGTCAAGGCCACATTTACATGAAGCAATATAAAAAAATAAGACAATTAATCCCTACAGAAAGGGTTCTGCTTCATTTTACCCAGCCCCTCTTATTTCAGAGGGGGAGAAGTTTCACAGATCCATGAATATGGTGGCTTGCAGCTGGAGACAGTGTCATTAACAATGACAGCAGGCTTCAATTGTCAATTAGTTTCTTGGCTCTGATGTTGGCTTGCTCAATGCGTTCCCTGTTTGTATCAGCCTGAAAGAGACATTCACACGTCATTTGCAGACTTCTTGCAAAAGCATTTCAAAATTCAAACCCACAAACTTCTGCAATGCAGGGTATTATCACTGTGGCAGGCAGAAGGGGAGCCGCTTCAGTAAACTAGATGATCTAAGAAAAACCCAGTAGCATAACCTCTTATTGGGGGGTTCATTCAAACTAGGAGTCCTGTGTTAACATTGCAGGCTACCAGAAGTCACCCAGTCAAGCCTATGTATTCCCCAGGGGAGCTGGAATTTTACTTTCCTTTTTGTTTTTTTTTTTTATAAAAATAACTTCAGAATAGAACTGATGCTTTTAAGCTTAATACCGCTTTGTTTCTTTGAATGATACTGTCCTTTGAAGATTCACCTTTAACATTTTGATTTGGTTTCCACATTGTGCGATAGATTTCAAAGCACCTTTCAGCAGGAAAGGATAAATATCCTGAGACAGGTGCCAGTCTGAAAGCCAGGAATAACATTTCCACTTTTATTGCTGCTTTGTAAAGCAATTCTAACTCGTTTCTAAAATTTTACTAGTTAAGTTTGATCAGCAAGATTTATTCAAACCACTGAAATGAAAGTGTCAGGCCAAAACAGGTGCTTGAAACTACCAGAAAAACTATTGCTGCAAACAGTAACTCCCACTTGCAGTTAATCTGACCAAGCCAATTTCAGTCCACATGATAAAATGTAACAAATTCACACCTCATTTTAAACTGTTATTAAATTTTCTAGTGTTCTTTAAAATACTTGAATTTTACTTGGTAATCCTATCAGATCAGTGGTTTCAGGGAACAGTGAAAGACAATTAAGGCATCCTTCATAAAATCATGTTGATTGCATTATTAATGCCACAACTCAAATTTACTAGACAAACTGAGATGCTGACATTGGTACAACCAGCATTTGTGTCAGACTAACTGTATATTTGAGAAAAGTCTATTCCTCTCACTTTTAACCCTACTGGGCATTTAATGGTATCTTTAACTTCCCATTTTGTCTTAATTACATGGTTTTACAGCAATTGGTGTTCACTTCCGCTTTTTTTAAATCCTTAGTATACACTGTTCTTTAAAGCTTTGATTTCCTTTTTAAACAAGATGCCTGTATTCATTTCATAATGTGGGGATTTCTAAAATATGCCTAACTTCCTCATAAGATGCACCCCCCCCTATATATTTATATAGGATTCATCTGTTCTGGGAAGTTTGTCTTTAAAGCAGTAACATTTGAAAAAAAAATAAGTTACTGGCTATGCCTAACTCCATTTGCTGATGAGGGCAGACCTGTGCACCTACAAAACCTATTATTCCAAAGTCTCCCCAGTCCCAATATTAACCTGTCCATGAGAATTAGGGCAACGAATCACCTGGTTTTATTTCATGTCCAGTGATTAAAGCAACTTCTTAGGAATTCCAGAAGAATCTTGCTTTTGTCAAAAATACCTATTCCCTACCATGTACAAGATTTCCCTGCGAGCAAAAAATCCTCCAGTATGTTTGCCCTTTCAATCCTATCAAGCCTAGAAGTTCAGTGTTTTCGAGAGCAGACAGTGACCTGTGCTATATATTTAGGTTTCCTGACACTCTGAAGCACTTAAATTCTCAGCTATGCACCCAAACACCCAGATATCCCTTATCCAAATCACTGCAACCTGAACAATGGCATAATCTTGATGCATACTTACTGCAAATACATGTAGACAGAACAGTAAACCCATTCCTTGTAACTTCTCAGTTACAACCTAACCTCTAAGCAGAAGGCAGGGAACACCTTTGGCACTTACCTTTTCATTTATCCGGTCTATTTGTTTATTCTGGGCATCAATCTCATTGCCCATATCCAAAGCCATGTTTTTCAAATTCCCAAGAATGTTTCCCACTTGAGCAAGATTTTCATCCATTTCATCTTCTCTGGCATCATTTGTTATCCTGTTCAAATAATTAAAGACAATGTTTCTAGGAATCTAAAGCTTGCTTTTCCTTACCTAAAATTTACTTTAATACCAATTATTGTACCATTATACCCTGGCTCAAATACACTGCCTGTCAGATGTTCCCCCCCCCGCCCTTTTAGAACCCCACATGTTCCAAACAAGCAGCCCACTAAAAAGGTGTAAGCTAGTTAATGATTACAAAATAGCCTTGGAATTTAAAGTAACAGCTACCAGAGGAAGTTTAAGACATGAGGTTGTCTCAAATATACTTTATGACAGTGAAAGTCCTTGATATTTTTAAGTCTTCTCAATAAATGAGCATGAAGCTCTACAATCCTCACAGCCAGAAACAGACTAATACCACCAAGACGAAACAAATGGAAGTTTAAGATGAGCACTTCAATACTGAAAGTGCAAGTGTCTGCCATCTCCTGTTCAAGTAGGAACAATTCTTCCAAGCAGCAGTAAAAACACCTTACTATTTAGCAACTTACCCTAAAATGCATCTGAAAAGCTGACAACTTAGGATTCCTAGTTTTGAGATGAATATAAAGGAGCAAACCTTGTAATATATCCACCACTTGGTCCTCCAGCAGCCTGAAACTGCTGCTGATTTATTCTTCTTGGCTGCATGGATATCACATGATCTGCCGAGTTCTCATTTCCATCTCCCCAGGTTGCTTTATATACCTTGCTAGCCTCGAAGTTCTTTGTCCTGCTCCACAAAAATAAGAGATCTGAACTGTCACACCAGAAATATGGTTTCCTGACTGAACTTCTGAATTAATCTAGAATTTTCAGAAACATTTGTGCCTGAAAGAGATTAGATTTTGTATACACAAAGCCTTGTCTATGCAATGCGATTTCTTATATCATGACAGTAAAAACGTAACTGAGTTACTCTGGGACTGTAATTTCGTTTTAAGATTTAATATAAGCACAGCGATTTCCTTACATTAACATACTTTACCAGAAAAGGGGAAGCTTATGACAGTCACAGGAAAGCTCACACTGTCATAAGATAAAGTTACATTTATGACAGGAGTTAGTCTAGAGTCAGGATTTTCAGGGAAGAAATGGGGATTAGCAGAAGTAGCTACTCTATGCAAGAAAAACATTAATCTCTACTGTTTTTCTGTTGAACATTGTCTGTTGCTAAATCTTTCCTTTCAAAGTTATTGTTCCTCAGGTTAATTTTAATTATGGAATAACAGTAACCATGTTTAACTGGCTCCTTCATTTTGCAATTTGATTGTACTAACCCTATTAAAGCAACAAACCAGTTTACCATTACACTTTTAGCACATAATTCAGAAAAGAAATAAAAATAAAGCAGCACACTAACATGAAACAGTGTCAAGAATCAGACTCACAAAAGCAAGAGGGGAAGAAAATCTAGTGAAAAAATAACTGATCTAAATTGGGGTCAGTTTTTATGAACCCAAAAAACATTATCTTGAGAGAATATTCTAATGTTCACCTTGTTTGCTGGCATTTTCAGGTTTAAACTTTATAATCCAGACTCCACTGACATTTTTCTGCTTCTTTAAAAAGCCTGTGAGGAGAAATCTGTTGTGTCTTTCAGTGCATCTAAGTTTACAATTATTGGTAATCATTTTCCCTGTAGTGCCTTTCAATAGCCCAGACATTCACATTTGAGGAGGTGTCAATGTCATTAACTGCAGCTGCAATTAAAAAATATTCCCCTCATTCTGTTGGCACTTGTGTAATTGAAAAGGGAAATTGTGTTTCATAGGCCAGATGTTATAAAACGTAATCTAGTATGAATACATCAAGGAGAAGAAATGGAATAATTTATCAGTTCATAACGGAAGTGTTACAGCCAGCAGAACTCTAAAGAAACCTAAACTAGTCAATTCTAGGTCCTTGTGCATACACAGACTTAAACATCTCTTTAGGTAGGAGATTTTTATAGCAGGAGAGCTTTGTGTGCTTGGCTTCTGGATTAGCAAAGTCTTAGGTGCCAGAGGTAACTGAGGAATTTATTGAACAAAGCAAGTGGCCTGAAAACTACTTGCACAAAAGTAGACAGCTATAAACAAAACTGCTGCTCAAACTAAGCGGTTAAGAAACAAAGCTTCTCACCACCTGACTTTTTTAAGATCTGTTTTACAAATTACTATATATTCACTTTTCTCCTATTTCCATAGGCATAAGGCAATTTATACAGCCTGTCAAGCTAGCAAGGCCTCAAGCAGTTGTTCAACATTTCCACAGGAAATGCACTCCGTAGTACTTGACATTTTCTATTCACATGAGTATTAAAAGACACCACAGTCACACGGAGACGTACATGCAGGCATCATACACATGCAAGCACAAATCCAATAGAAGCATCACTTCAGACAGCTGGTTAAATTACATCTGCGCTAGTAAGACTGACCTTGTCCTAAAATCCGCTTTCACCAGTTAAGTGAATACAGCTTCTTATCCTAGTCTTCATTTTTAGAAAGCAAGCATCAGTGTTAGGAAAGAATGGAAAAGAAAGAATAGTAAAGACCAGCAAACTGGTAAATAGTTATTAGTACATAGATTATATTAGAGTGCTGCCAGTATTTCGTGTTTTCACACAGCTTTTATGCATAGTCTAAGCCTAGAAGAAATAAGCACTATTTAATTCAGCAAGCTTTCTGATTCAGCTTCATACTTTATGAAAACAAATGAAATGCTTTAGAGATAACTGGTTGACAAACAACTCTAACATTGACAGAAAAAACAATGTCCCAGATATATGAAAGGCATTCAAAGTTTCATCTTCTTCTCTGCCCTCTACTTACCTAGTAGATTTTTCTGCACATTATTGCCTGTTTTGGTACACAACATTATTTTTTATTGTTATCTGTGTACACCAAAGGACTGCCATAAGAATTAATGAACTCTGAGCTTGCTCAGTGTCAATAAGCTGCTTAGCTTCAGTGAAATAAAACTAACTACAGAAAACAAAGACTGAATGTGCCAAAATGCTCAATTCATCAGATTGATACAACTAATCAGTAAACACACCTATCTAGAGGTCAGGACAGAACCATCTGCATTTTCAAAGTACTAAAGCTCTAAGACTTTCAGCCTTAGAAGCCACACGTATCTATCCTCAAAGCATTATTCTGCTGGATAATGCAGACTCAGCTATTCCACGGAATTCTTACCTAGGTTTCTGCTACCTCTCAGTTGAATGATAGCTGGGTTTTGGATTGTTTTTCCCTCATGCTAAAGAGCTAAAAATGACCAAATACACACACACTATTCACTTCAGTGGTCACACTCTTAAAAGAGCTTTTATCTTCTTCACTTGGAAGAACTATGATCACATTTAATTCACACAACTCAATTTGATACTTTGCTGCTTAAAGATGTAGCTAGCACACCTCCAAAAATAAACGTTTTCCTTATATGACTGATTTCTGATAATTGTTTAGGCTGATTTGTACTGCTAAGCAACTAAACAAGTGCCATATAAAAGACACTCTTAACTGACTTGGTTATGGTAACCAGAACACTGATGTTCTAGAGGTACCATGAAGCAGGTCTACAAGAATTTATGTAATCAGTAATGAAACATTAAAGCTTTAACACCAATGTCTGTTCTCCTACTCTTCCTCCCTAAAGCATGAACGTTTTTTTTTTAATGCCTCGAGAATCGGTATTACTTTTCTTATTCAAAACAGAAGTTTTCCTACTTTTAAGTTAGTACAAAAGTACTTTTGTAGAGAATTATTTTCGGAGTCCAATTTCTAACACAGGCAGGCACTTAAATATATAGCTATCTGCAGTCCAATCTGGTCTCGTCCATATGGAGATTGTTAGTATTTCACCAAATAGAAACTTTAGAGGACCTTAGGGCAGAATTGTGCAGGATGTTACACAGCAGCTATATTTACAGTGACAGGGGCACAATATATGCAAGTTAGATGCAAGTAAGCTCTAGCTACCAATCCACAATTTTAAAAGGATGCATCTCTACAAACCAAAACAGCTGATCTTCCTAGAGAGTCAGCATTTTTTAATAAGCTCTTTTATTAGAGACCATCTCCTAGTACAGTAGCTATTGAGCTAGAACTTCAGACCCAATTACCAACTGAACTGACCTGTTGCAAGGACAGACACAGAGCCCACAACATTTGTTGAGCTCTGTCAGTGTCTTCTCAGCTTCTCTCACATCCTTATTTATCTGGTCCATGCCTTCTTCTATGCGATTTAGCTGTTCTGGAAGAGAAACAAGTAACCAGAATAAACATGGATTGGGGGAAATTAACACTCCCTTCAAGCAGGAAGCTTCAGTTCTATCTTCACAGTGAGATTAATGTTTTTTGTCTTTCCTGCCTTTTAGGACTTATTTATTTATTATTTATTACTGGAAGATATTCAGTGAAAAGTTTTGTTTACTACATAAAAAATATTTTCCCTATCCTTAAAAAAAGCACTTCAGTTGCTGCTTTTAGAATAAATGTAGTTTTCTGTGGTGGGAAGAAGAGCATCTCTAATAGAGCTGTATTACATTATAACTAATTCAGTCTCTCAATTACTTTAAAACCTCTTTACTACAAACACATCAGAATAACAAATAAGCAAGTCTCATTCTACATATGTAGTGTTTAATAACAGGTTCAGCAACAACTCTTGAATGATAATCCTTTTTCTTACAGTCATAAAATTGGGTGTTTTTTTAATGTTAGAGAGGAAGAAGGAAGAACTCACCTCCCTGTTCATCCAGCATGGTGATAGTTCTGATGCCAGCATCATGAGACTGCAGAAATAAATGTTCAGATATAAAATCTGATTTTAATACAGCAATGTGAAATCAGGTCTCTATAGTAAATTTGATAAGCCAAGCAAGTTCATAATAAAACACTGCTAGGAATAACTTCCATAGTAAAGCTATGCTAAGTTTCAAATGGATCCTATGGTAGGCTGATAACAATCATGCCTGGTGTGTTGGGTTTTTTTGTTTGTTTGTGGTGGTTTGTATTTGGTTGGTTGGTTTTTTTTTAAATTATTTTAACATTACAGTAAGATCACAAAATGGTTTGGGTTGGAAGGGATCTTAAAGCTCTTCTAGTTCCAACCTCCCTGCCACAGGCAGGGACACCTTCCACCAGATCAGGTTGATCCAAGCCCTGTCCAACCTGGCCTTGAATATTGCCAGGGACAGGGCAGCCACAGCTTCTCTGGGCAACCTGTGCCAGCGTCCCACCACCCTCACAGGTAAGAATTTCTCCCTAATCTCAGTCTACCTTCTTTCAATATTCAGATTGAACTACAATATCAATATCAAATAAAAAAGTAAATCTAGCTGTGCCTTATTTTGAAATGTGGCACTTCAGTTGATTCTTTATCCCTACACCCTTCAATAGGGCTAACACAGCCTTTAGTCCTTGGAAGGCAGAATAAAAGAAAGCAAAACAAAGCCTGCAAAACTGTTCATGAAAACTCAGCAGAAGAGATCAGGAAGAGGGTAGCCCATCACTAGTTTCAAAACTAAGCAAAAGAAATCAGCAGTGAGGAATATACCACTGCAGAACTCTTTGCTGGATTAAAGACTTGAATCTAGCATGTAAATTGCACCCATGCTTTACTATAAACTGGCAGCATAGGACTGTCTATTGTAGGAAATATTTTGGTTTATGAATCTCCAAACCATGACACCAAGTGAAATAATGATGGCTCATTACATGCTCTTAATGTTTGTGTTTAAGAAGTATTCATTATGCTGATTCAAATGCCTCACTGATAACATAGCATCTTCTGTTTCGTAGCAAACTGCTACCACCTGGACAGTGAGTACAGGCTCTAAAGCAGTAGTGACCAAACACTTCAGGGTCCTTACTCACTGGATTATTTTTTTTTGTGTTCTTACAACAACAACAAAGGGTCTCAAGTCTTCAGCACTTGAAGCCTGGGCATTAGCTCTGTCTCTGCTTAGTCTCTGGTTTCCATTTGTCTATGGTTTATCCACATACTAGCAAAATCATCTTGCTGAACCAGTTAAGCTTTGTTAAGTCTACCAGAGCTGACTATCAACCTTATCTTACTCCCTACCAACAGGATGCTCTCTATATTTTGAAATTACAGTATTGAAAATAAACTTTGTTATTTTTACAATGGGTTATGCACAACATAAAGGAACAGATTCCTCACACAATGTCACATGAACTCAAAATACAAATTTGTTTCAAGTCATGTATAAAGGTGTTAAGAGTTTAGTATCATACCTAGCTACCTTTAAAGTTAAAATTTACCAACAGATTGTAAGGTGTATGTAGAGAAGCCTGTTTACAACTGAAGGCAGCCCTACCCTCCACTACCCCACCCAACTAAGCCCTGCCCTCTTCCTCAAAGCAAGACATTTTCACACTGTTCACAGGCTAAGTGAGCTAAGAGAGAAACCAAAGATGCTATGAGAAGCAAATGACACAGCAGCCAAAGTTATTACTGACCACTGAAGAAGCCTTATTTTAACTAATCTGTAGCATTTGGAGATTAGGCCATTTTGCTTAAGAGGAAAACAGGTAGAAAGGAATTCTGTGATACGACTATACATAATGTAAAAAACATTAGGTTTAACTCATTCCAACTCTATTGCTGAATTAAAGCAGCAACTTGTAATAATGAAATGCGTGTCAAAAAGTTTGAGAAAGACAATAAAAGTGATTAAGATCACTTTGTGATAATTAACATGCTGCTTCTTAAATTAATAAATCCCCAGGGAATTCAAAAATGTTTCCTTACCTCAATGGCCAGGCCAAGAATCCTCCTTGTGCTTTCCAAAGACTAAAAACAGAATTTTAACATGAGTGTGTTAAAAGCGCATCAGTGTCCCAAAATCCTCTTCACCAGTTCATTACGGTAAAGCAATTAATATACAAAGGTTCATCAGCCTGCCTATATGTAGTACATTCCACATCACAGTGCCAGCATACTGGAGATTTTTTCAGTATGCTAGTAAGCCCTTGTTTTTTAGTACTTGTTTTTTAGTACTTTAGTACTTTGCTTATCCCACTGGAAAGTCATTATAAAAGAAAATATATTCAAATGAACTTTAGATCATTTGAATAAGCATGAAATATCAACATGGATTAAGAACACTGTAGGTACCCAGCCTGCATGGTCTCAGTAATCATGGCCGAGTGATCTGTACTCAGTCAGGGAGGTGGCTTTACAATTCAAAGGTTGAAATTCATTCTTACTGCTTGCAGAGGTCTTTACTCCAGTATTCACCAAGTAAAGTGAGAGTCTGAAACATGCAAGTATACCCTTGCAGGGTCACCACTCTGACTTAATACTTAGAAGATACTGTAATCTTGGCAGATAAGTAGTGTAAACCCAGATGGCTTCCTATAACAATTACCTCATTGGTGACCTGGTTGGCCCTCAGCTGGATTTCTTCAGGCGATAGTTCAGCCATGATGAGGAACTACTCCTTGTAAGTAATCAAGTTAAAGAGAATCTTCCCCCTGTGATAAAGAATAAAGGAATTACCAGTTAAGCATCAGAATCTCCTTCTATCAGTATTTTGAGTTGAAAGCAGAAGTAAGAAGTTCAAAGAATGAAAGCCTACAGAATTAATTCTGCTTAGAACACCACCTGGTTAGGACTAGAAAGTACTAGAAGAATTATTCAGCTGATAAGACGTAACTTAGGAGCTAAGAGAAATATAGGAACAATCAGTATGTGAAACAGTTTCCTTTACAAAACCTGGCTTGCAAAACATTTTTTGATAATTCCTCATTTTTACTTAAGCTAACAACAGATAGAAATTAAGTCTTAAAATAAAAAGCTTCTCCATGTTGGAAAAGCACACTGGTTTAGTCAGCAATCCAGAAAGAAATTAAGGAAAACATTTAAACTACTAGTATAAACTTCAAGTGTTCTTCCTGTTCCCTCTGGGGAATTTCAGCAGTCAGTCAGAAGGGGAAACACTTTCACTGACCAACCACCACCTAAAATGATTCTGGTAATGCTCGAGAAACAGTATGGTGAATCCCTCAAATGCAAGAGGACCTGCAGAAGCTCCAAATGGTATGCTTGCCGCTCTAGCGAAGGTTTTCAAATATATCATCTTTCTCTTATTAAGGATAGGATCAAGATGAAGCCCCAACACACTGTTATCAATATTGTAGCCAATTTCGGTTTAAAGTTTTATTAAACTGAGTAAGCGATAGCAGCTAAAACAGCGCCGGGTGCACTGCGGAGTCCCCCACTCCGCCCAAGACGCGCACACGCGGTCCCTGGGAGGTGGTCCTTTCTTTTTCGGTTCAAGGCCCCAGCCAATCCTGTCGCCCCTCCTCACTCGGATGTTGACATGGCTCTTCCCCATTGGTTCCCTTTGTTGCAGGGGGTCTCATTACCGAGAAGTTTCCAGAAGCTCCCAGAGGCTTCGAGAAGCGTCCACTGGAGCCTCCTCACCGTCGCAGCCCCCTCCCCTCCCCTCAAGCGCTGCAACAAGACACCACTTTGAGCGACCGAGCCCCTTTTTCTCTCTCACAATCCTGTGCAACAATACAACTGACCTCCCCCCCATTACTTACAGAGTACAACAGTTACAGAGTCAAAAAGGAGTATTGTTTCACGTAACGACAGCCACAGAGAGCCTCCCTCCCCCCAAACTTCTTCATGAACAAACCCCACACATTACACACACCGTTTTAACTTTTGCTATTAACAGGAGATACATTTTTCCCTGAAGAAACGAGGAAAAAGCAAGCCCATCAATAAATGTATTCTCATTAGAGCCAGGTTTTTCAGAGCTAAGAATATGCATTTTTGTTGGACGAACAGTAATAAAGCTGGCACTCCTAGCAATGGGAAAACTGAGCTCCCAGGCTATACAATAATTTAATGAGATACTACATAAACTGAGCAATAAGGAGCTTTTAAAATAAATTTTCCCCTTAACTTTTGATTAGTCCTTGCTCTTTCACATGAGTAGCTTTTAATTAAGTTCCCATAATCCACTGGAATCATTCCAAACATCCTGCTTGACTAACAGAAGTATGTTCCATTTTTCCCTATTAGATAGATTTTCTAGAAGACATAACATTAGTGACTGCTCTTAGAAGGGCAAATTTATGCAGACTCAGACAGCTGTTAGCTAGAGAAGGGATGCTGTTCACAGAAAGTGCACATCTCAGGGTGACTTGAAATCAAGACACCTAATCCCTTATAGCTGAAGTACTTCAGGATTTAGAGAATACTTCAGCAGGTTTGATCTTATGAAGATAAAATACCTCCTCAGCCTATGGCTACCAGTGTGGCTTCAGGAGTCAAGTAGCTATCAACACAAGTTCAGTTTTGCCACCATTAAAAAGTAATAAGATTAGACATTTTCACATAAGGCCTCTATTAGCTCAGTTTGCAGTAGTCCAATTTCACTACACAATCAGTGACTTTTCACTCACAGACTTAAGATCCTTTCATGATCTTAAGTCACTTTGAATTTGGGAATGTCTCTTCAGATGGTTTGCCCAGCTAAGGTCCAGTAAAGCAGGGTGAGGGAAGAAAGGACATGTTTTCACCAAGTTAGATTAAGCACCAAAAAATGACATCAGGCTGGTTCTTTGGGGGAGGCCTCACATTTATTTAATATTCAGAAACAGGATTAAGAGTCAATTATATAGGGGGACTGAAAAAGCAGTATCTGGATTACTGTAGCTGTTGCGGGCTTGACCAGCTTTCCCTGCTTCAGGTGCCACACAGTCAGGTACCTCTGCAACTTGGAGCCATAAAACACACATCTCATCTTGGACAGCAAAAAGAGAGAACATAACCCCACCCTGTGAATCATCAGCTTGCCAAGAATCCCATTACAACTGCATAACAGGGCCAGAAATACAGCTATGATCGCAAAGTGACTGGAGATTTCTTTTTCAGCAGCCCTGTTGTTCTGCTTCACTTTGCAGCTGTGGGTTCAGGCTGTCCGGTTCACATACCAGTGCAAGCATAACTGCTGGCTGTATGATGTAACCCTAGCTCAGAGGCTCTGTTCGAGTTACCCAATAACCATACTACAGCCAACACTACACAAATCAGTAACAGTTTCTTTGCTTTTGAGGCAGGGACATAACAGTAATATTCTCAAACATGGTTAAGAAGGATTTATAAATTAAATCTAACAGGTAATAAGACCCTTAAGTTTGAATGCATGTTTGCAAATACATTATAATACTAACTGCATGCCAGGAAAGAACCCAGAATCTGAAGAAAGAATGTATACTTTACCAAGCCAGATACTGAGTTTTGTGTTTTACTCAATACTGACAGAACACCATCCTGTACTACTAGAACCACAAATTCATGGAGAAGCCATTGAAAAACCAACCAGCAGCAATACTGAAGGAGAAGAAAAGAGACAACAGTCAGCACTTCCAATTCCCAAGCCAGTAGTTCTTGATGGTAAAGTTTGGAAGGTAACATATTACTGGCAAGTGACAGTTGTAAATTAACTTCAGGGCTGAAGCTCACATACACTTGAACTAAATCCACCCTGGGCTTGACAACCATGATGTTAATAAAGTCCTATGAAAGATAATGCCATGCTGAAATCTGATAGTAATTACAAGAAGAGACATAGCAGTTACATGAAAAGCTACCTCATGTATTGTTACCTATCAAACTATTCCCCCCAAGCTTTGTCCTATTTATGTTAGCTCATTAAAGAGCTGTCAATTCATTATTTGACAGAAATAAGTTAGTAGTAACACACAAAACTAGGTGTCTGTAACTGTATCTGACACCAGACAACATCTTGAAAACATAAGCACTTGCCACTGAATCTACCAGTTCTAAAGGTGGCAAGCAAGCTTTCTGTTCCCCTAGCTTGCTCACATCTTCCTGAACAAATCTGCTACCAGGCAGCGAGAAGTTCCATGGAAACCCACAGCATTCCTCCAACTTTCTCCCTAAATCAATGGTATTTCATCTTGAAGCTGTTTATGACTTACCTAGCACAAGAAATACATCTGCAAAATAGGAAGGAAAAAAAACCCCAACCATCTACACAGCTGACACCCATAATTAAGAGAAAAAAAATTACATCCAGGATTCTTCAGAGCTGAGGCATGCATGTGCTTATCTTCTGATGCTCATATCTGGCCACTTGTAGCATTTTGCCTCTTGTGAGGTGAAAACAATCTGAAGTGATAGCTCATATGCCCAATTTACAATTGCTAGAATAACTGACCTATGTGGGAGGATGTTAAACCATTCAGAACACTTGGTTAAGGGACAAACACTCTGACAATCTTTCATCACAGATAATAGGGTACAGTTACTTACTCGTCTTGCAAGATATCTGTAAACAATAAGAACATTCAAGATGTGGTCATTTGTATTGAAATAATAGTTTGGCTATTCCAACAGAACACATACATAGCCAAATGAACACATACATAACGAAAGAACGCTCATCATCTTTTGCCTAGGAATCATGAAGCACCCACTAAGGTAGCCAGCTCTTAATCCTGTTTCTGAATATTAAATAAATGTGAGATCTTCTCCCAAAGAACCAGCCTGATGTCATTTTTTGGTGCTTAATCTAACTTGGTGAAAACATGTCCTTTCTTCCCTCACCCTGCTTTACTGGACCTTAGCTGGGCAAACCATCTGAAGAGACATTCCCAAATTCAAAGTTGGGACTGAGCTGCCTTAAATAAACCTCATGAAAGGATCTTAAGTCTGTGAGTGAAAAGTCACTGATTGCGTAGTGAAATTGGACTACTGCAAACTGAGCTGTTATATGACAAAACTATTTTATATCCAAGACATGAAGATTCCTCAGGGACAGAACACTTGATATAGCTAAAGTGTTCCTGGAATGTATTTTTATTGTAATGTAAGATTTGCTAAGGTAAGCATTTATTTTTACATCCATGGACAATGCCCATTAATCCCAGCCACAAATTAACCAAAGAAATAAGACAGCCTACAAAGAGACTTCATATTTACAACTTTCTGCCATTTCACTTTATTTTCTAAGTGATAAGTTCTAAACAAGAGACCAATGTGCCTAAATACAAAGCAGAAATCCTTTAAAGAAAGGATGAGTAATAAGGTGATGTCACCTTTATTTACTTTCTGTTATTAAAAAGTACTCTGCACTATTTACTCAAGTTATCAGACTGCAAGGATTAAAGTTAAACACATTTCAGTGCAATTCCCCCTCTATCCCTTGCATGGGAGAACCTGGCACCTACAAACTATGCAGAACTAACCTTGCTCCAAAAAATACATTTTCTTGAAGTAATGGGCCTCATTAAATTTCTCTACCAGGGAACTAAGAAGACTGCACACAACATCATCTTAACTATCACTGTCTTAAAAAAAAACCAAACCAAGATTCATCAAGAACCAAAAGCATCAAGGAAATAAACACAGGGCCTGGAAATCCTATAAACCTCTTTTCTGCCATTCTTTTTATTTTTGAGATTGTGGGACAGAAAGTTCTCCAGAATTCCAATTCCAACCACAAGCTTTAGATTAAAGGTTCTCTCTCCACAAGACTGCTCATAATGTGCTAAGCCTATAAGCTCACTATTGTAACACATATTGAAATCAGAATATTATGGTCTAAGTCAGTTGAGGATGGATTAGATTTAAGTTATTGCCATCTCTTGAACAAGAAGAAACAAAGAAATTAATGTCTCCACATATTTTTTTCCACTTATTAAACCTTTATTCATGGCTCCAAAAACCCTGAAAAACCTTCAATGTACTCTCCTATTTGGAGCTGTTAGGTTGGAGAATGCTGAGGAAGAGACACAGCAAAGATGATTCTACAGAACTGCTTAAAAGCTCAAGATATTTCCTTCAAAAGAATAAGGGACATGACAAGCACTTTGGGGATGATCTTCGAATGATACCAGACCCATTTGAAGTATCACTGGCTTACAGATCTTCATTTGGTTAACCAACACACCCATATAGCAGCTGAAGCATTTTAGTAGGTTGTCTAGCCCAAAAAAACTGTAATGTGACAGATACCAATGTGAGCTATGGCTGTGTCTGTATTAGCAGCAGGGTGATACTCAGGGACTATAGTGCATATTTTCATTTGGGGAAAAGTGCTGCTCATACTATCACATTTCAGATGGATCAGTTACAAGTATTTATTTAATAAGAGTCCTACACCAACCCCAAATACTTAATCCCAACATCTGCCAAGCTATCTCCTTCATAAGACTGAGTACAATAAGAGCAAATTCAGTGCTAGTAATACCTACAGTGACCTACTGCCTGCATGTACAAGTCTCCAAGTGTAAATTACCTGCTTGTGAACAGGAAGCTAAGACAGTATGGCTTTATCCAAGCTCTCTGTCTGGGAGTGTCTGAGAACAGACATTAAAAACTTTGGAAAAAAACCACCCTAAGGCATTTGAATGGACAGAGCCTCAAGATCAAAGTATGCAGCCAGCAACAACAGAGTCATCTTTGCCACCTGTCTTCTCAGTGAAAAAGACCAATATGGAATCTTTGCTGTCTAAGTCATTGATTTGAGATGCTTCTCTGCACCACTACAGGTTTTCCCTACAAGTGTTTTTTCATTCAAAATTGCTTGTACACTGGATGCCAGCTATTTATCCTAACACTCACTTTCCAATGTAAACAAGTTTCAAAAGCCGTAACAGTGAGGTCACATGGTCTTTTCAAGTGTTTTTCAATCCCAGATCATCTTCTGAGGCTTCCAAAGTCCTGACAGCTATAGTAGGCAATTTACATGCTGTTTGAATGTGCTTTTCTTCAGCACTAGTTGAAAAGCAATTCTAAGGCTTATTAGCGTCAGGAAAAAAAAAGATAATTTACTTCCTTGGTTTACAACAGTTATACCATATTCTGGCTGTGCTACCCAAGGCACTCAAAACCAGTAAGAATTGTCTTACCAATCTTTGTGAGTTAAGCCAAGTGCAGGACACCACAAGGCCTTGAAAAGTGCTTGCTCAACTGCAATTACACAGCCCACATCTGGAAAAGAAATGTAAGGAGGGAAATGCTGTCAGGAGTGACAAGTTTTCTTAAGCCAGACAGGTCAACATACACCAGACCAATCAATTGTTCTTACTGCTTGCACTTTCACAACCCCACCTTGAATGACTGTAAGATTTTTGTCCTGCATCTCTGGCTGACATAGAACACTTGTATGCCTCTGACAGACTCAGTGCCTTTCAGAAATTTGCCATAAGTCCATCACATTTGCTAAATACCATAAATTAATTCCCTACTTGCCATTTAGGGGTCCTCTGTTAGAACCTAAGCCCTTCTCTCTCAAGTTCTACCATGGCTCTAATCAGTATCACTTAACTTTTCTTCCTCTTCACTGATAACCCTAAACTAGAAGTTAAGCACAAATGTTTCTCTTTTTTGTTTTCCTGTTAAATATATTTGTGTATCATCAAAAATACACAGCAGGCTGTGTCTTAGTGCCTGGTTCCATAAATGGAGAATAAGAGGTTCACAATTTTCTCGTGAGTAGGAAGTGAGATGAAGAAACAAGTGTAATATTTTTGGCCACAAAAAAAAAATATATGTGAGACCTAAAAGTTGGGATAAGATTATCTCTTTGATACCAAAACCATAAATTTTATTACATTTGCCTTCTAGAATAATTTGTCTGTTAAAAGAGCTATTTCCAAGTTGAGAGTGAAAACCACGTAACTCCCACAAAGTGTTCCAGCAAGACCTCATGCTGACATCTTCATGTTGTTTTCCTTTTCAAAATCTAATGGAAGTTTATGGCAGCCAGGAACTAAATGTAACAAGGTGGAGTGAAAAACTTTCACATGTATTGTGAAGTTATTTTTGTGAAGTCATTATATGAAACAATCCTCCTATATTTCTAAATATATTTGACTACTTCATTTCAGATAAAGCAGAAAGTAATACTTGTACTTTATTCTTTTAACATGATCTACTGGTAAGAATACCAAAGCATTAAGCCTTAAAATCCTGTTATTCCCAGTTCACTAGTTCCTTCTTTGCATGTTTCATATACATACTGGAGAAGAAACTTTAAATAATAGCTTCTAACTAATACATCTAAAAGTATGATTGAGAAATGCAGCCTATACCTCCTTTTGAGTAATCTTAGCAGAAAGGTAGGAACTAGATGATACAACCCTGCTGTTGCAAAACTTGACTGAAAGCCATTATCTTACGAGCTGTACTTTAGGCATCAATGAATTGGTGCAGCCTCAGGTAAACATGTACGCTCTCTCAGTTCCTCCTCTTATAAAGCAAGATGTTGCCTTGCCCAAAATACAGAAAAATTCATGAAATAATATTCCTAGAAAAAAAGAAATTTCCATGCATTCTTGCAAAAAAGTAAAATTTAGATAGTTTACAAACTAGATGATTTTATGGTGAGGGTTTTTTTTTTTAATCTTGCCAATTCTTCATATCACTAACACATAAGGAGTTGTTTTTATTAAACCCTTCCTTAACACAAATAGCTATCCTACTTGTTAGTCAGCTGAAATTCACCCCAGCTAATACAGGGTGGTACAAGGTGTCAACACCAAGATGTACTCCTCCACACGATTAGGCATACAAGATAAATGAATAAAGCATCTGTGACCCTGGGGAAAAGGCCAGAGCCCAGAACAAGACACTACTCTGCATGCTTCCTGCTTTCTCTTATCAGCTTCCTGACCACACTGCACAGAGGCGATAGCGCAAAGAATAGGCGCTAGGAATGCCACCTCCTCTGTGCAGTCCCATACTTGTCTCAACAATTCATTTTTGTCTGGCTGGAAAAGCCTCGTGATACCTTCTTTAAATCAGTCACTCACCAATACCAAGTAACAATTAACCCTAGATCCGTATGCAGACATGGACTGATTCCTTTTCTTCTAATCACACAAACCGTGCTATGTAATATGCTACATCAAAAAATGTACAGCAGGGGAGGTCAGACGTATAGATTAGTTACTAAAGTGTCAATAAGCAATTAATTGTGCAAGTCACTGAATCAAGCAATTGACATCACAGGATGCTTTCCCTTTATCCCTAAATACCTTCCTACATAGCTGTTTTCTCTGTTTATGGAGAAGCAAAGCAACACCCAGCTGCTTACTTCTGACCACTGGAGACCCAGTGCCCTTATTAAGAGGGTGAAAAAGGGGAAGGTAAATAGCTAGAGAAGTTGCATAAAGAAATATCCAAAGTTTCTTCAGCTTGTTTACTTAGGTTGTTGAATCATGTGTGGTAATTTGGCAACCTTCATTGCATAAAACAGAAAGGAAAAAATAAAGGAAAAAGTGAAAAATAAAGTTGACTCTACATTAGCTTCCCAGAACTGCCAAGGGCTTCAAGAGGTACATTAGGAAACGCACAGTTTACTTCTGGCGATTATTGTTTACTATGTACCACAACAGCATCTTGCTGGTTAGTCCAAAGCAGTGGGGCACACCAGTTCAAGGGCTCTCGACAAGCAAGAAACACACCCGAACATAGCACCTATGCTCCTCGCAGGGAGAGCCGGCCGAGGCCTTCCACCACTCGACAAGGCGAGCGCAGCCCACGGCTCAGCCCGTGGCCCCTCCCGAGCCGCCCGTAGCCCGCCGCGGCCCGGCCGCCCCGTTACCCCGCGCCAGCTCTCAGGCCCAGCAGCCGAGGCAGGGCGGCACTCACAGGGCCAGCGAGGCCAAGACCGCCCCGACCCGCGAAGGCCCCCACCACAGCCGAGCCGAGCCAAGCCGAGCCTGCCCCGCGCGGGGCGCTACGCGGCAGAGAGGCGGCCACAGACCGGATCCACCGGCAGCCGCCCCGCCCGAGGCGCAGAGAGCCGGCAAGCCCCAGCCGCCAGACACCTACCGGCACCACCGCCGACCGCAGACTCCCTCACACGCACCGCTCTCAAACGGAGCCGTGGCGAACCGCGCCACCCTTTACGCGCCCATGTCCCTCCCTCACGCCCGGCCCCGGTGCCGACCGCGAGAGCGCAGCTCCACGCGCCCGGAAGCGGGAACCGGCACCGCCCACAGGAGGGGCAGTACACGCCACACCCGGCATGGCGGGACGCCCCCATACGTGGGTGACGTCAGGCTGCGTACACCCAAGATGGCGCCCAGCTCCGCCCCTGAGCTGTGGGTGTGCGGTGTCGGTGCTGTCGCCGCCCCGCTGGCGTCGTGGGGCTGGTGCGGTCCACGTGTATGGGGGTGTTTCTGCGGGCACCGTGCTGCACATGAGGAGGACGCGTGTCAGCCCCTCGCCCGTTACCAGAGAGAATGAGGGCGGAGTGAGAAAATTGCCGTTTGGAATCACAGACCTCGCTTTGCAGAGCTGAGGTGGGCAGCCCTTCCGAGGTGTGCTCCTTCTCGGGCCTGGGTGACTTCTTCCCTGTTCAGCTGCCCTCAGGACCCCACCGCAGGGCAGCTCCCTCGGAGCGCCGCACGGAGGTCTCACACCATTGAGGCCCGCAGCAGCTTTACGTGGCTCTTGGAGCCAGTGTGGTGCAGGACAATGTCAAACACTTTGCACAAGTCCAGGTAGACATCAACTGCTTTGCCCCTGTCCATCAGTTCTGTAGCCCCATCATAGAAGGCCACCAATTGGCCTTGTTGAAACCATGTTGAATGTCACAAACCACCTCGCTGTTTTTCACATGCCCTAGCATGGTTTTCATGAGAATGCGCTCTATCCTGTTTCTCACCCATGTTTTATAATGTCATGCATTAATGTTGCCCAGGTGGGGAGATCTCTGTGCATTAGAACTTTGTCTTGATCATAATCAGCAATACCTCTTATGGCCAATAAAGCATTAAAGTCTTGAATTTCTCATAATTTCATCCCGCAGTAAGGTAAGGTAAGGTTTGAGAGCAGCAGGAGCTCCCTTAATTAATGGCCTTAACAGGTCATAATCTACAGTTGCTCATATGGGAACATCAGTGGGTTCATACTCTTGCATGGCCTGAATACAGGCAGCTTTTGTAACAGCTGTGGGAAGCTCATTTGGGAATATAATAGGTATTAGTAGAGGTTCTTCTCTTTCCAAAATACCTATTCTGCTAACCCAGTATGCCACTCTGCTAGTTCTCAAGTGGGGATTGTTTGACGGTTCAGGACCAGCATTTAAAAAGACTCCACGACCCCAAATTCCATTGGTGTCATTGCCAGCAAGTAAAATTCTGTCTCCCCCAGTTAAACATACTTGCCATAAGTATTCAGTTTCTGTTTCACTCAGCTTACGGCTGTAGCGTACTTGTAAATTAGCCATTTGAATGGGCTCATGTGGGGTCTTTCTTTGAGTCTTCTGCTCCACCCCAAGGCCCAGTAGTTTCTTCTGTTTTTATTAGAGGTCTGACCTGATATATAGGAGGACGTGAATTTAAAAGGGATGAGGAATCATTTACTCTCATGTCATTATCACTGGAGTCACCCCAGATGTTTCCCTCCTAGTCTACAAGGAGTACAATTTCTATTCTGTACAGTATCAGGGGGCTTGAAAGGTTGCATAAGCATCATTTCAACCTTTTCTCCTAATTTTGCCCTTTCTCTCTTTCTTTCTGAAGTTGATTTTGTAACTCTTCAATTTTCAAAGATAGTGTATGTTCTGTTTTCTTTCCTTTTCCAGTTTCTTCTGTTAGGTCCTGTATCTTTTTGCTGTCATCTGATCTATGCTGATAAGGAGTTTCTACACAGAAGCCTAATATTTTGCAAATAATTCCTTTTTCATCTTTTTCTTATGGCATCTGTTCACAATTAGTTGCTATTTTACAGCTTCCCAATTATGCCAATTATCACAAGTCCATTCTTCTGGACATGTGAGACTCTGGCTTATTCCATGTTTTTGTAAGTAACCAGTGGTACCATTTGCCATCCTGCCGACTTCACCGCAAGTCCCACTGCTTCTACAACGCCGCTCGCCCGTCACTGCCCAGCCGCCATGCCGGCGGAACTACATTTCCCGGCATGCACCGCGGAGGACCAAGGGTGCCTTCCGGCGTGCAGCGCGGCCACTTTCCTGGCGGCTCATTGGCTGTGTTGGGCAGTGGCTCCGCCCCGCCGTGCGCCGCGGGTCTCTGTGGGGTCGGCCCGGCCCGGCCCGCCCCGGCGCGGAGTGGGTTCGGTGAGGGTGGTGGGTTTGGGGACGTGCGGTGGCTGGGTCTGCTCGGGCCTGGCACGGGGATGGACTTTCGGGCCGCTGCCTTGGTGAAGGGTGTGATGTGTGAGTACCGAGGCCGCGGGGAGCAGAGGCTGCGGGGAGCTCCCTGGGGGACAGCTGGGATGATGGGGGGGCTGCACCGCATCTGGTGGAGGTGAGCGGGGCAGGCCTGGCCTAGGTGGGCTGCACCGGACATCTTGCCTTGGGGCGGGCATGCGTTTTGCTTTGTGTTGTGAGCATCCTTTGTTGCTGCAGTAAATCCTGAACGTTGTTGCCCTGTTTTAATACAAGCTTTGCTAGAGCAGGTTCTCTGTTACAGATGTGTAGCTATCATCAGGTCTCTTCATACCAGCCAGAAGCGTTTCCTGGGTTGAAACGTGGCTCTGGGGGCAGAGTTGCTCACTTACCCTTCTTGTAATACGTTGCTAAAGGTGTGTCTTAGTGGAAGCATATATGAATGTGGTGATAAATATCTGCTAATTTAAAAAAGTGGGGCTGATAGTGTGAAATACTAAGGGTACAATGAAGTAAAAGGTATTTAAAAGTGGAGTAGTTTGCATGTAGGCTTAAATTATATTAAGAACTGTTCAGGGGTGCTTATGAGCTTCAACTTGGAAAAGTGTATGAGCATTGGATAAAAGTGTCATTGATGACTGAAGTTTATACTTTGTTGTCCTTTATTGATAGCGTTTTGATAACAACGGCCTTGTGCAAGTAACAGATTTCCTTCTCATGTTCCCTGTTGTGCTTTCTGAAGTGCAGCTTTAAAGAGCTTTGTAGATCAGGTGAGTTCTGAGGTGTGACCTGAGTGAGAAAAGGATTGAGGCTTCTTGGACTTTGTTTTCAGCATCAGTTCCTGGGATTGCTTTTCCTATATTTCTGCTGATTTTTTTCTGTTCATTTGTTATTTGTTACTTTTTTTCAGTCAAGCCTCAATTACTATATTAAACTAACAGCCTGAACTAATAGATCCTACAAACCCCCTCCCCACAAAACGAACAAAAAACCCAAAAAACGACCAACAAACAAAAAAACCCCCATCACCCCCCCCCAAAAAAACTAACCTGAAAAACACTTAAGCCTTCCAAAAATTTAATAAGTCTTGCTGAAGATTGAAATTATCTCCCTGTTAGCACTGCAATATTTATGATGAATATTGCAGGTTCTAAGAGCCAATGCAGAATGGCTTCATAACTGGTTACCTTGGAAAATAGCTTCCTATTCTGAGGTCTGTTCAGGTAAAGGCAACTGTATTGTCTTTTGTTTCTGTTCTTGCTTGGCTGCAACTGGAGTGGCAGTACAAGCCAACTGCATTTGCATCATAATAGTAGGTGCTATGTTCTGGTGTTTTCAGTTTGAAACAAGTCATTGGTTTTAGGCAAACTATGTAGGTCTGTTATCTGAGCCAATGTGGTTTCTATGACTGAACTTCGTATAACTTCTAGCTGAAATGTCCCGAAATATTTGAAGAGGTGTCAGCTAAATGAATCTTAATTTATGCAGGGCTGTGATATCCAGTACAAAGAATAACAGCAATCACTATTCTATGAGTACATGTCCAAATTGCGTACAGAGATACAAAGACGTGTAGATGGCTTGATCTAGGTGAAATTAAGGTATTTTTCCATTGATTCCCCCCCCCCTCTTTATTGTAGAGAAAAAATTCATAAGATATCTGGAATAAAATTTAAATTTGATTGAAATCAGATTTATATTGATAACATTTTTAACACTGGTACTCATCTTCTGTAAACTCTGCCACCAGGTGGTGTCCTAAGATTTGAGATGTTACCTGACTCAAACCAGTGACAGGAAAATAAGCAGGTACTATGCATTACAAAAAAACTAATTTGTTTTTATGAAAATATTATTCATATTTGTAGTGCAAGATTTTTTTTTTTCCTCATCTAGTCCTAGGCCATCTTGCATTTTGATTGTACATCCTGAGTTGATAGAGCTGCTGATATTCAGTCCTGGGGCAAACTGCATTACAGAGATATAAGAATTCAGACAGACTCCTGTATTTCATCTGCATGGCCATTAATGACTACTGTCCTAATGTTTGGATCCTTAACTTGAATTTACTTGACACCAGAGCTCCATATACTGAAGAGTGACCTGAGTACCTTGGTCTGAGCATCTCATGTCACTCTACAGCTGTTTTTCATACTCCATAGTGACTGTATAAATAGAAGGAGCCCAAGGGAGAGAAGTATCAGCACCGGTGGATCCAACAACATCTTATTGGTCCTCTTCACTCAGGATATTGTTCGTCTTGGGAACTCACCCTGATCTGAGCCCTGCGCTTTTGTGTTCAGTTCTTTGGGCTGTTATCCCTAATTTGCATATGAAGAACAGAGAGGCATTGCTATGATAATGATGGACATAGTTTAGTGAGAACTTGCCCAGTTCCAGAGTGGGGTTCTGAGGGGGTGGGCTGGTCTGTGCCCCATTCTTAGATTTACTTGAAATAAAAATAGACATCAGTGAAAACTCTGTCTTTGTGCTAGGTGTTGCCCTGCCTGTGCTGGTCTTTCGAAGGTATTTCTCCACACTCTCCTGATCTTCAGTTGCCTTCCCAGTGTATTGCATAAAGGCAGTCACACTCCTGGGATAGCATGCAAACAGTTTCTGATCGGTGTGTTCTAGGCTAGATAGTTGAGTTGACTGCTGCTTTTAACAGGAACTTAAAGAACTTGGATCTGTGAAATAACTCTTCGCTCCTTGTAGCTCAGTGTCAAAACAGTTGAGCACTTGGATGCTCAGTTATAACATTTGCTGTGCAGTGGTGCTGCTTCAGTGCTGGGAGAGTCTAGAATACCCTCAGTCTGTCATGAGGATGAAATTTAAGTCTTGGA